AACAGAATTGAGTTCGACCTGGCTCTCTTGCCAGTAGGTTGGGCTTTGCCACACTCTCCTGTTTGCATAAGTGGCATCAGTTTCTTCTTTGCAGCAGGAAGAGTTATCATTTTTTCTCTTTGAAGGAAGAACATGAGATTTGGAGCCAGAGAGTTATACAATCACAATATGATTAATTCTCTTTAATCTTTTATTATGTCCTTTGATTTATCATTACTTACAAAGTAAAACCTAAAGTCTTAGTATTGCTTTCAAAGTTCTGTGTTGGTAGTTCTCAGCTCTGGATGCATATTAAAATAACATGAGAATTTTTTAAAAAAATACCAAACACAGTGTGGTGTTTAGGTATCTGAATTTTGGTGTCCACGTTCATGAGGGATACCGAGTTATCTTTTGTCGTAATGAGTTATTGTTTTTGGTATCAAAATTATGCAGGTCTCAAAAAAGAATTGGGAAGTGTTTCTCCTTTTTTTATTCCCTCAAAGAGTTAATATAGAAATGCAATTATTTCTTCTTTAAATGTTTAGAATCCGGGGCAGCCCTGGTGGCGCAGCGGTTTAGTGCCGCCTGCAGCCCAGGATGTGATCCTGGAGACTGGGGATCGAGTCCCACATCGGGCTCCTTGCATGGAGCCTGCTTCTCCCTCTGCCTGTGTCTCTGCCTCTCTCTCTCTCTGTGTGTTTCTTATGAATAAATAAATAAATAAATCTTAAAAAAAATAAATGTTTAGAATTCACCAAGATAGCTCTCTGCATGAATTTTCTTTTTTGGAGGCTTAAAAATATAGATTTAGTTTCTGTGTTTGAACACAGAAACTAAACTATGGGCCTCTTGAAGTTACCTGTTTCTTGTTGCATGAGCTCTAATGATTGGTGTTTTTCAAGGAGTGATTTGTGTCTGTCCAGTTCATTTAAGTTGTTGAATTTATGGACTTTATAATATTTCCTATTTCTGTCATATTTGTAGAATGCATGGTTGATAACTTTTCTTTCATTCTTGATATTGGTAATTTCTGTCTTCTCTCTCTTTTTCTTAGCTTGGCTAGAGATTTATCAATATTATTGATTTATTCAAAGAACCAACTTTTGGTTTTATTAATTTTTCTCGATTTTTTCTGTTTTTAATTTCATTGATTTCTGTTCTTAAGCATATTATTTTTTTCCTTTTGCTTGTTTTGGGTTTGGTTTGCTGTTCTTTTTCTAGTGTCTTAATATTATTGACTCGAGAACTGTCTTTTCTAGCATAAGCATATTTAATACTTAAAAAGTGAAAAGTGCCCAGACTGCTATGCTTTCCTTTGATTGCCTTCTTTCTACTCTGGACACAACCAATGTTATTTTTTTCAACATCCTTTCACAGAATGCTAGATAGCATTACAGCAATTATTTTGTTCCATGCTTTGCCCCCCCACCTTTTTTAATTTAGTAATCTATCTTGGATATAATTCTTTATCTTTCACATATTATTTTTCATTCTTTTTATGAAGCATAAAGAGCCAGTCTTCTACTAATGGACATTTAAGGATAGGCCTGGGTCTTGGTATTTTTAGTATTTTTTTCTTTTTATGCATTTTTTTTAAAAGATTTATTTATTTACGATAGACATAGAGAGACAGAGAGCGGCAGAGACACAGGAGGAGCTAGAAGCAGGCTCCATGCTGGGAGCCCGTCCTGGGACTCGATCCCGGGACTCCAGGATCACGCCCTGGGCCAAAGGCAGGCGCTAAACTGCTGAGCCACCCATGGATCCCCCTATTTATGCATTTTATTATGAAAATTTTTATTCATGCAGTTTATATGTCTTAAATGTCTTTTAACCTGTGGGTTTCCCTTCACTTTTTTTTTTTTTTTAAAGATTTTATTGATTTATTTGAGAGAGAGAGCACAAGCGGTGGGGAGAGGCAGAGAGAGAAGGAGAAGCAGACTCCCCACTGAGCAGGGAACCTGATGTGGGACTCGATCCCAGGATCCTGGGATCATGACCTGAACCGAAGGCAGATGCTTAACTGACTGAGCCACCCAGGCACCTCAGAAAAATTTTATGCATGCTGTTTATATATCTTAAATATCTTTTAACCTGTGTGTTTCCCTTCATTTTTCACCTTAAACCCTTAGCCTTGTCCAGTCATGATAAACCTCACTTTCCCAGGATTCATTTTCTAAACAATTTTTATTGAGAATTAGAAAATGCCAACAGAAATATACCTAAAATGAAGTACAGTACCATGAATCACAGTGAAGCAGATGCCCCATGTGGATACTCTGGCAGCCGAGGGACAGAGTAGAGTGAGCACCCAGGAGCCCCTTGTGTGGTGTGTCTGTGTCACCCCTTCCCCTTCTCCCAGAGGTAATCAGCATCCTGATTTTTATGGAAACCTCTTCTAAGATTAATTTTTACTTTCCCCTGGATAGTCTCACATCATGAAATCAGTGTCTGCAAAAAACATTTGAGCACGTTCACCTTAAAAAATGTTAGTAGCTGTGCATCCAGGCTTCATCTGCTTTTCGTGAGCACTTCCTCTTTGTTCTTGCTCTGCTGATCATCAGGCATGCTGCCTCACACTCTGGACTACAGGAATGTTCCCTCTTGTTGCTTCATCTTTCTGTGCCACTTCACTTCAGGATGGAAGCTGTATCCATCAGGGTTCTTAGCTGTAAGCGATAGAAAGCACCTCTGGCTAATCTGTTAAAAGAATATGCATGACCCACAGACTCTGAGAAGATTGGGAAGGTGGGCTTGATGAGCACACTGCCATGAAAAAGAATTTCAAAATTGTGTCATAAAACTGGTCTCATGAAGACACCTCCTCCACCTCTGTGGGGCACAGATATTGCTGCTGGTGTTCCCTCTACCACTGCCGCTGGGCTGTGGACATGCTGTAGGAATCTCTGTCTCTGCTGCCTCAGGAAGCTGAAGATAACTCCTCCTGGTGTGGCTATCCTTGCAGTGGACTCTTTGGAGTCCCTGTTTTTAAAAGCTAATAGTTTTCTATTTGGTCTAGAGTGGGTGCATCTTGTTGGCAGAGCTTGTGGCATTGTGCCCATGTCTTAGTGTTGAAGAAAAATGGGAAAACAAATAGGTGAGGTTTTCTTTTTTCCCTTCTTCGTGCTTTGGCAATGGATATGTATTTGTGTCATAAAAGAGGGCATGCTTGGGACACCCAGGTAGCTCAGTAGTTGAGCATCTGCCTTTGGCTCAAGGCGTGATCCTGGGTCTGGGGATGGAGTCCCGCTTCAGGCTTCCCATAGGTAATCTGCTTTTCCCTCTGTCTATGTTTCTGCCTCTATCTGTGTGTCTCTCATGAATAAACAATCTTAAAAAAAGAGAGAGAGAGCATGCTTAAAAGTATAGTTGGCATTTAGATGGTTGGTGACAAAAAGACATGTCACTGTAAAAGTTCTCTGTCAGTCTTAGAAATCCATTCCTTTTAATAGTTGATGTTCTTTATAGCTATTTAATGTTGTTTATACAGTGCAGTAATTTGACATGGACATACTCCTTATATGGCCAGGTGCTATTAAGATGTGGAGCAGTGTCTATATTTCTGAAGAACTATATATTTTAAAAACCCCATCTTGGAGCACCTGGCTGGGTCAATCGGTAGAGCATGCGACTCTTGATCTCTGGGTTGCGAGCCCCATATTGGGTGTAGAGATTACTTAAAAATAAAATCCTTAAAAGATAAAAATAAAAAAACCCATCCTAAGTTTAGCTAATTGCATGGATTCCTGTTTTTTTCTTATGAATAAACTTAATGAGGGGTAGTAATTGAAAATCAGACTGTAACAAGTATTAGTATTTCCTGGAGATCTTTTCACTGAGAACCTTTGGGCTTATAGACCATTTGCCTTTTCCAGGTGTGATCTTACTGTTTACAAGTTTTGGAAAATGAGAGACACTGTTAGGACCATCAGTAAAGATAAATAGGATGACACTTGCTTTTCAAAACCAAGATGACATAGTTCTCATTATTGTAAAGGTATTTTACTCTTACTATGAAACTTTATATGCACAAGCTTTATTATCTATCTATCTATCTATTTATTTTTAAAGATTTTATTTATTTATTCATGAGAGACACAGAAAGAGGCAGAGACATAGGCAGAAGAAGAAGCAGGCTCTCTGCAGGGGAGGGTTGGGGGGGTGGGGGGCAATGAGGGACTCCATCCCAGGACTCCAGGATCACACCCTGAGCCGAAGGCAGATGCTCAACCACTGAGCTACCCAGGTGTCCCTGGGTAGGGACAAGCACAAGCTTTATAAAATGAACACAAAAGCCCATTGTTTGTTTGCATGTGATGACTTCAAAAACTGGCTAGTGAAGTTTTCATCTGCTGTGAAACCAGGGCATGGCAAGTGGATGGAGCAATGGGCATTTGTGTCAGAGGGGCTTGCTGACATTGCCTTGGCTCTGCAGGTGGTGTGCAGTGTTATTTTGGATAATTCATATATGTTCTATATTTCATCTTGGGAAGATCAGAGATAGATACAATCAAACTTCTTAGAACAAACACACGGTAACATAAGCTTGTCACAGTGAAAACAAAAAAAGAATGTAATATAAAATCTTTGTAGCAGTGTGTACCCTGTATTAGTACGTAACAAGAAACTGTCGTTATCACAATGGGAAGACACATTTCTGAATTATTCAAATCAGGTGGTGCCTCAGTTTTGAATACTAAAAACAACTCAGCTGTGAATTTCATGGGCTAAATTGATAGGAAATTTACTGCTGGTTCATCCATTTGACCTCTGTGTACATAGCCAATAGAAATTTTTTTACAGAATGTAAAGGTCCTTTCCAAATAATTCAGTTAGTTTTAATACTATCTACCTAACATACATGCGGCCTTAATTCTACAAAGGAAAAAAAAATCCAAGGTAATATTGTAGCATATAAAGGTAGGGACCAGTTTACTAATTGATTGATATTTACTGATACCTGTGATTGGTTTTGTGATTCCATATAGCAATTGTTTCTAATATAATTTATTTTGCAGTGAGGGCCGAGGCAAGTTGACCGTATTTTCAGTTAAAGCTATGTTAGCAACCATGTGTGGTGGAAAAATGCTGGACAAATTGAGATGTAAGTACTTTCATATTATTTAAGAGATTGTATTTTCAAATCAGGACTTTTGAACAGTTTTAAATTAATGTTTTCAGAATTTTGGATGATGCTATATTGAACTTTTTTATTTTTACTACACATCACTTCCTAGCAACTGGCTCAGAGTATGTAAGTTATGCCACCTACTGTTGAGATGGAAAAACTGATTGAATTAATTTGTTTAGATTTCTTTTTTTTTTTTTTAATAAAGTAACAAAACTGAAGAGATTCAGAACGGTAATGTTGACCTTAAAAAGCCTTTTAAAAATGTTTTTCATATTATCAAAAATTTTGCTTGTAGATGATTATGTTGAGTGTATTTAGTTAGAAAATAAATTTGATTATTTTTACCAGTTTTGGTCAAAATTAGTCCTTTTTAAAATAAGTTTATTCTTCATCAGGTGATATTTTCGTGATTAAACTTTTCCTTAGTAGCTTAGAGTTAAGCTCAGTTATTTAGAAATTTAGAGCCTGTTTTTTTTTGTTTGTTCAGTTATTTTTTCTAAATTTTTTCTTATTGTTGGCCATTTTGGCATTTTACTGTTGCCAAGATTAAAGACATTAAGATTAAATGACATCAGAGGAGGTAAAAAGTTATTTAAATTTTGTTGTTTATGGTTTTCATTTATTCATTCATTAGATACTAACTGCCTAAGGTATGCCAAGGCATACCTTAAGCATTGTGCTAAGTGCTTTACATATATTTTCTCACTGAATGCTTAAAATTTCTTTGAGCAGCAGGTGGTATTTTCAACATTTTATAGATGAGTTAACTGAGGGGGTGAAGCTAGGATTTCAGCTCAGGCTGTCTAGCTTCATAGCCCTGTTCTAAGCTATTTTGTTGTAGTCTATATGCTAATCCTATAATGGGCGGCACATATGTGATGAATACAGTACACTGATCAGAGTGCCATGCTTCAAGTAAGAAACTCTGGCAGGTTTCAGGGAGGTGAGATTGAAGTTGTTGGTTTTCATGAAGTGTTGAGATACCCTATGAACTACTTTGTTGAAGAAACTGGGTCATCTGTCCTCTAGCATTTCTCATGGACTAGAGTTTGATGATTGCATCCCCATGATGTTCTTCTGTGTCCTACTGTGTCCTACATTTTTTTTGTTTTAATTGAAAGAGAGACTTGGTCAGGTTTAAGCATAATCTTTTGGGCAAAGTGACTTGAGGGGTGCATTTATTTTCTGTGCTTTTTCTTACCTGTTACCATGACATTGAAAGTTGGAAAGCTGGATGACTCACCGGATAGAGATATAACTATTCTAAAGAAAGGTCTTAGATAATATGTTTGGTCAACTGTTATCTGGTTTATCTTCATTTCAATATCAGCTGCAATGTAAAACAGTTTTAAGAAATATTCTTCTGAGTGTTTTTTCACATGGTATCTCAAAATACTATTCCTTTAGGCTGAAATTTCTTAGTATTTTCTTAATTCTACGTGGTGTTTTTCTGAGGAAGATAATGTAATATGGATGAAATTATATTTCATTCAAACACAAAGAAAAAGTTGGAATTTTATCTGTTTTTAATGATGGTGACCTAAGTTAAAGAATATGCATTGCCATCTTTATTAGTACTGGAGAAAGTGGCTGAAAAACAGAAAATTGATTATCAAAACCGCGTTGTAGGAAACTCTGGAGTCTGTAAGTTTCTATGATTAAATCTGCTACATTTAGATAGAGCATAGTAAGTGCCAAATATCAATTGTTGATTATTACAATGACTGCAATTCTCTGTTAGTGAAAAAGTGCGAATTTTAGTATTATGTGAAGTGTGGAAGGGAACCAGGTGATGGCAGAGTTGTTTTGCTTTGTTTTGTTTTCTTTAACGTTGCTTTTGAACTTGTTGGAGGAACACAAGTGACCAGTACTCAAGTGGCACAAAGTATGTGTGCCCGGGCCAACATGTCAGTTTGCTCAGAATGCTAGCTCACTGCGCATCAGATAGGGATTGATGAGATACCAGCCATGCTAGGTCACTAATCACCATGTTTATATCATGCAGATAGATTTAAAATATGGTTTCCTTATCTTCTTCATGTTCAAAATTATAGTTTTCTTTACCATCAATTGCTCTTGTTTCATTATTTTTATGGTACTAATTATTGTGGCTCGAAAATGAGATATTTAACATAAGTAAAATTTTCAGATATTGAAGCCTATCTCCACTTCTTAATTTTAATCATCCAGAATGGAAACCAGTTTACATGTGGGCTGTCCGTCTTGTTTTATAGAGTTCACTGGTTATAATTTACGTATTTTTCATAGCTCAGGGATGTCATTCTCTGATGCATTTGGGGCTCATTGTGAGGCTCTGTCTGGGTTGTTTGTCCCTTCTGATGTGTTTAGATGATGAGTGCTTTCTCAGTTCTTGAGCTTTTTGTTGGTGGTGGTAGCAGTGGTGATGGTGTGCACGTCCCCTTTATCACTGATAAATGTGATGGGATTATCTGAGTATCAGTCTCTACAAATCTCTTTGCTTCTAATTTACATTTAATGTGGAGAAAAAATAAGGAAACTTCTGAGCATTCATCTAAGGTATGAATGTAAGTAATGACTGGAGGTTTTGTAGTGTGATTGGCAATTTGGCTGCTGTAGGAATCCTTTTCTCCCTAGCTTTCCAGGGCCCATCTGTGTCCTGCTTAGTTGAGATGGCTGAATAGTAGTGTAGACAAAAGTGAGCTAGAACGCTGTATGGTAACATCCAGTGACATTTGACTGTTCACTTTCTTCTCTCTGCTTGCTCCACTGTTACTCCATCCTCCTGCTGCTAACTGCATTTTCTGCTGTTACCTCTGTTAACATTTCTTTAAATGAGGCTTTCTAATTTATGGAATACAACTTAGTGTTTCTACTTTCCTTCTTTTATTTGGCTCTTTCTGCATTTTACCTTTTTTAAAAAATTTTTTATTTTTATTTTTTTTTAAGATTTTATTTATTTATTCATGAGAGACACACACAGAGGCTCCCTGTGTGGAGCTTGATCTGGAACTCGATCCTAGGACCCCAGGATGACAATGTGAGCCAAAGGCAGATGCTCAACCACTGAGTCACCCAGGTGCCCCTTCTGCCTTTTACCTTTTTTAAAAAAATTAATTAATTTATTTATTCATTATACATATATATATAGAGAGAAAGAGTATATATATATAGAGAGAGGCAGAGACACAGGAGGGAGAGGCAGACTCCATGCTGGGAGCCCGACGCGGGACTTGATTTCAGGACCCCAGGATCATGCCCTAGGCCAAAGGCAGGTGCCAAACCACTTAGCCACCCAGGGATCCCTGCCTTTTACCTTTTATTTTAGATTTTTTTTTTCCTGAAATTTTCTTCCCTACCCCTTTTTTATTTGATATATTTTGTTTGCTTGTTTTAGGGTCAAATTAGCATTTAGAGCTACTTAACCAATATTTGTACTTTTAGCTTGAAACATTTTTTTTTAAGATTTTATTTATTTATTCATGAGAGACACACAGAGAGAGGCAGAGACATAGGCAGAGAGAGAATCAGGCTCCTTGCAGGGAGCATGATGCGGGACTCGATCCCTGGACCCCAGGATCCTGACCTGAGCCAAAGGCAGACATTCAACTGCTGATGACCTTTTATCTCTAGCTTGAAACATTTCTTGACTAGGTTTTTCAGATTTCTCTTATAAGAGTTTCTGTCCCTAGGTAGCACTCATTTGTAGAAAGAGTTCACTGTTGTGGCCATTTAGGGACTATATCCTAGATTCACAGTTAACCTAGGGTCTGATTCCGAATACCAATGATTTATAATTAGAATACAGACTTTAATTATAAGGATGATCAAAACTCAGTAATGTCAAAAACCCTACAAATAACTCAGAGAACAAAATTTATAGACTGTAAAGCTCATTATTTATGATTTGTCATTTAATTTATGTGATTTATTTACTTTAATTCTGCTATTCGTTTTCCAAGAAACTTAGTCTCTCCTTCAGAACTCATCTGTCTTGCATTAAAAGATAGGAGCAGATTCATATAGTTTATTTCTAAATTCTTTAAAAACCTGGTGCTACCATTTTGAAGGACAGTCTAAAAGTATGTATCAGGAAGGCTGTAAGAATATCTGTATCCGTTGACTCAGTCTATTTCTTGAGTTTACCCTGAGGAATTAATCAGAGTGCACCCTAAATTTCATGTATGTTTGGGTTTTTTTAAAGATTAAAAAAAATTATTCATGAGAGATACAGAGAGAGAGGCAGAGACACAGAAAGAGGGAGGAAAAGCAGGCTCCATGCAGAGAGCCCGATGCAGGACTTCCTGGACTCTGGGATCATGCCCTGAGTGAAAGGCAGACGCTCAACCACTGAGCCACCCAGGTGTCCCTTCATGTATATTTGTTATGACATTTTTATAATATGCAAAAACTTGAGACAGCTTTAGTGTCCAAAACCCAGAGCTTATAGTTCGGAATACCCACATGATTGAATATAATGTCCTCAAAGATGTGTTTCAGATCAAAATGCATCAATGTGATATGGTTTTAGACAATAACTTGTTATGCACATAGAAAAAGTATACCAAAATGATAACCGGTATTTTTTCTGGGTTATAGCATAAGAATGTTTTTGTAATAATAATGATTTATATTACTTTCATTTTTGCATGTTTCTGACAGACCACACTTTGAGTAGCTGGAGTAAAAGATGATCTGAGGTGCTGTTTTTGCCCAGAACTGGCAGCTCTCACCGACATTTCAATTGCTTGCTTCTTTGCTTTTGTGCTAGCAGACTGTAGAGGAAGCTGTCTTTTGCAGTTATAATTAAACAGATTCACCTGTTCAAAGTTTAGCCTCCTCTGCAATGGTCTTTTAACTGCCTGTCACTGCAGAGTTACCCTGGCTTCTTTATGCTAGTCATCCCTTCTAGTCATTAGACAAGACTGTTTAATATGAATGAGTGATGTCCACATTTGCATTTCTCATATGACCAAAATGTTCTAGAACTGGAA